CCGAAGTGGGGAGAAACTGTATACGTAGCTAGTACTGTACAATTTGAGGTACTAGCTTAAAAGAGTACAGTGGCAAGGGGTGCTAAACTCTGCACACCTTAATTCATGCCGATTGATTGAGCGTGCCGAGAGCTGTGCCAAGCAATGTGCTGAACGTGCCTATCAAGCTAAATAAAAGTGTGCCAATATTCAATGAGTTTGGCAACCCTGAAAGCAATGACTTTTGTGATTGTGTTTACATTCTCAATTTCTCTGATCATGGCAAACATTCACCTTCATTCTCATTAGAGCGTTAGCAGGTCTGGAGGTGGAAGCGGAACTGGGATTGATGGTTATATTGGCTATATGTTCAAGCACATTTAACCCATCCACAAGATGTCTCTTTCTCTGTCTCTTTGAACTGTTGATGGACAGGTGTACAGAAAAAAAAGAGAAATCCGATCGATAATTTTCTGCCTATTAAATTCTCCCCCAGAACCTGAACGGGCGAGAGTTCAATCCCTCTAGGAACAACATCGTCGAACCAGTTTTAAAGCATCTGTTTGACTCAGAAATTTGTGTCCTCGAAGATATCACCCAAACCTATAGAACTCAATCCATTCAGCTCCACACAGATGATCAATGTGAGCGATTCGTGATTCAAGAACTTATATATTTGGGATTAATACGTATTGACATCCCCCAGCTGATTGAAGTCCATACTAAATGAAACTTATGACTGGGAATAATATCCGAGGAAAAATGCAGGGCCATTCCAGAAGATCCTCGGCAAACTCAGAATTAGAATCTGGCCGCCTCCCCTATGATAAGTTTTTGTTCTTCTTTACTGTCCATTCTCCATAACAAAATTGATAATGTAGCTCAGCTCTCGCAGAAGATCCTTCATTGTACGCTTCGAAATTGGATACCCATGACGGTACAAAATGTTTAGTTCAAAAATAAGAAACGTATTCTGGAATAAGCCTCCAGTACTTTTGTGTAAGGCATGTGGGCGTGAATGGGAGCAGCGTTGGAAAAGTTCGCGAGTCATATTGATGTTTGGTGAAGTTTTCCAATACTCAATGTGAGGATTCATTGACCTATAGATGCTTGATGCTCTCCGTTCCAAACTTAAATCCGATATTAGCATGATGCATGGTATTCTTCTTTTCGTACGAATAACCCCATAGAGTAGGTGTTCCGCCATCCCCGTTACATAGTTGGGTTCCATTTGCTTGATATTGATGAAATTGTTTGTGTGGCTTTCCAAATTTACCATCAAAGACAACTGTCGGGCATTTTTCAATCGAAAACGAATCGTCACTAGAGGTTACCCGTTTCAGCCATCTCGACAAGACGCTCTCAACCACCCATGGTGTGGATGAACGAGCCTATGGGATTTTTGCTGTGATTCAGAAGAGACGAACTTAGTTTTGATAGGTTTGAAGAGATTCACGATTCAGAGAACATAATTTTTTGAACCCTCAAAATCAGAGGGTATCCGTTTGTCGTTTTTAAATTCTTGATTGAATCGATGTTTAACCAGTATGATAACAAATTCTCTCACTAGCTTAGTTTTTGAATAAACAAAGTATTCAACCGAGTAGTGAATCTTAACAACGATTGGCAAAGGCCAACACTCAACAGTGATGCTGTTTTATTTTATATTATTTGTGTCCTACTTTTCAAAGTGTTCCTTAACGTGCTAAGCAGTGTGCCATGCTGTGTATCGGCACATGGTGCAGAGTTGATTACCCCTTGTACAGTGGTGAACTTTGTGCGTCTTTTGAAGGCCTTAAATGCATTAAAGCTAAATATGTAATATATCACGAAATTTGACTAATGTTAAATTTCAGCTGTTTACTTCACTTACATTTTTTACGGGCCCAGGACAAGCTTTCATTACTCCACTATGCTCAAAGCAATAATCTGAAGGATAATAATATTTAAAAACAAAAAATAACTGAAGAAACCAAAGTATTATTATGGATTTATTTCATTTCACCACGAAAATAATAAATTAGCTCTTTTCATATGGCTTTCTTGTCTGTTGTTTGACATCCACACATGGTGAAACAAAAAAAATCCAAGGAGAAATAACGTTGCGGCGGTGAACGACAATCCCTTTGTTTACGTCGTGTGGCGACATCTACTATTTGCAAGTGGGTACGTGAAACTAAGGTTATCTGCCACCTTGCCGGGGACTTGGCCGTTATGGAAGTTTCGGTTGCGTTCGGGTATAAAGCCAAAATCATGAAACTCAATCTCACCACAGCTTGCTGAGATTAGCAGCTGGTGAGTTTTGTTGGCTTGATATCCCGAGCTGCGATATCACAGCTTGCAAAATCAACCGCAGTTGCTTGCTTGTTGATTTTTGTCAACGAAAATCAATCGTGAGCTTGTTCTTTGGTAAGATTTGATTTTTTGATATTTTTCCAACACTGGTGCTAACTTCCAAATTTCTCCCGAAGTTTCCTCCAAACTACCTTAGCAAGTTTCATGCGTCTTCTCCTTTAAACTTTTAGCGGAAGCATCATTAGCATTGTCTCAGAAGTTTTTAAGTCTTCCTCTGGAAGTTTCTCCATTTGCTTCCTCCGGAGATTTTTTTCCAACTTCTTTTGGAAGGTTTTTCCGAGCTTCTTCTGGCCTCCCCTAGAAATGGCTACTCATAACATTTTCTTCCGATGTGGATGTGTCAAATTTTTTTCCCAAAAGTTTGTCAGAAAAAGTCAGACATTTCTCAATATTTTTCTAATATTCGTCCCGGTTATTTTTTGGCTTTTCGTAGAACTTTCTTCAATCTTCCTCCAGGGGAGCGTTTATCTTATTTCTTTGGAAGTTTTTTTTTCAGCTACCTTCAGCTGGTTCAAACATTCCCCGGAAATTCCTTTCGGCTTCTGTTGGAAGTAAATCTTGTAATCCGCCAGCCTGTCGAGCTTCCTTTTTCAAAGAAGGCGCCACTCCTAACGGAGACCATCCAACAGTTGGTAGCTTGTCCCGTTTTGAGACCTTCCTAGGGAGAGGATCAAGTTTCCCGAAATTTCGGGTAGGAAGCTGACTGGCTGAATAAAACGCGTTTGGCGTACTTCACGCAAGACACATAAGATAATCCTAATTCCTAAGACGTACGCAAATCAAACTCCGACAATCGGTCAAAGACTTGAAACACGTGAACGAGTGTTTTCATCACAGGCCTAGCCCTAATATTCTCCGTTTGTACTGAAACACTTCCAATTCCAGAGTTGCCAGAACGTTAGTCAGATTCGGACTGACGACCCAATAAACATGAAATACGAAAATCTATAAAATGGACGCGAAGCAACATCAAACCTCAAAAGACATCAACAAAACTATCTCTCGTTTGTACACAACAGAAAACATTCAGTATAACATAGTTGAAGATGCGAAGTTTCAAATAACAGGCTTTACAGGCTGACCACTTTACATTTTATACGATAGATGATGAGACGAAAATATAGAGTTGATAGTTCCGTTAGAGTGCGGCAGTGTGAAAATTGTATATAGGGAATAGAAAGCGAGCAAGGACAACTTTGAGGAAGGTACGAATCGGATAGATCTTCTCTCTTTGCCAAACTCCCCAGTTGGAGAGGGATGGTGAGGGGTAAAATGACGTTTCCTACCACTCAAACTTTGCTGTGGGATAATATTTTGAAAAAAAGGGTCGTATTGATCGTAATCTAGAGAAAACAGGAATTTATCTCTTCACTTTCTTTAAATCGCTGGTAGAAGGTCGTCTCAAAACTGCTTGACAATATGATTAATTAGAGAACGTCTAGTGTATTTGAGTCAGAGAGTTTATCTCATCAACCCATTTCGAACTGGAATGATCTGCAAACCCTATTCGCTTATCCAACGTCATTATTGCCTTTCCAGTGCTTGTTACCACACCAAAAATAATGATAACAAACAAGCAATCGTCTACACGGCCGATGAGATCGACTCAAAATTGAGTGTTTTTACACTCACAATCACAGAAAAACGTAGGTCGCTCATATTTAGTAAAATTGTCCTTACTTTTTCTAAAAAATCTACTAGAATGTGAAAAAAATCGACGAATATTTAGCTCAGTCTAGAATTATACTAATAGACTGAGTGAAACCTCCCTGGGTTTCCTCATATTCGAGAAGCTTTTCCTGGAAAAGCGAGGAAAATTTTACTTAGTCTATGAGTTTCTGCGAATTTGAGTTGGCCTAATCGGTCGTGTAGCTCACGTTGATCCAACTTACACAATCTTGTGAATTCCACTGACCTTTCTGGTTGTATTGGTAAATCTACTGACGTCATATCAGACGACACACTGACTATCCTTACCCAACGCAGACGAAGCAGACGACGATGACGACAGCAAGTCTACCCCGACTCGTCCCGATAAAAAAACGAAAAACTGAGTCGGAAAATTGTTTCCTTATAGCACCAACTCCCCATATATACTTCGAGTCGTACTGTTTTTCCTCGAACATATTTCCATGCTTGTATGACATGGGTACGCTTTAGTCGTCGTCGAGGAAACATCATAAAGGGGGGGGGGGGGGCAAAAGCGGTTCGGCTCGTTTGAATATTGCAACGAATGCGAAGAGTAGCGTTTGAATTTTCACTTTTTCCGTTTTGGATGAATTGTGGAGGTGAATTGGGGATGTTGGGTATAGGTGTACTGGGAAATGTTTACGTAATTTTATTACAAAAAGTTTGGTCGGTTGCTGCTGTAGTGGGAGAAGGTCGGTCACGGGGTGATTGTGGGTGGTCGACCCCCACCACCAGCATCTGATGGCGTAGTGTGTGCTCTGTTCCACTGCGGCAGAGGTGGTTTGTTTTTCTCCTGAATCGTCCCTCAAGTGGGGCATGATGGGTAGGTTTCAGAGTCCGGGGGATTAAGGTAGAGTGGGATGTAAAAGAGCGAAACTTCAGCTTTGGCTTACTTCCGATGGGATTTATGGAATTGAGGCAATCAATTGTCGTGATGATTGTTGAGGGGATTTTGGACGGAATTCGAACAAGCAATATTCAATGTGGGGCAATGGTAGTTTGACTTTTATCGGTGAGTGCATTAAAAAGTGATAGGATTCCACCGTAAAATCGGAAGTTTTCTGTAAAAACTTACGTGATCATCTAATACTAGTATTTGTGCCATCGTGGGTAATCTGTAATCTGCAGTGACACATACCTGAAAGTAAACATAAAGAAGAACGTAGTGTTAAGCAAATACCAAGGATGCAATAAATAGCGAACATGGAAATAAGCTAGTCTTGACTAACAGTGGAAAAGGATCTATTAGGATTTGTAAACTTAACTTGCAATACTGTTTTTGTATGAACAGTAGATCTCCTACGCAAACCAATAACACTGTCGGAAAGAGCAGAATGTCTCCTACCCGATGGAATTCTTTTATTTAAGAAGATAGTGGTGGAGTTCAATTTTATGTCCTTTAAGGCTATCTTTGCGATTGAAGGTCATTTGGTAATTTTCACCATTGCTTTTACTAATATTTTTTTAAATATATTTTTCCAAAGTAATACTTTTTTCCCCAAGTTCAGGACTATTAAGGGTTTTCTTGAGAAGTCCCTGTCCAAGGATGAGGGGCTTGATGATGATTTGTCAAGTGTCGCTTTGATTTTTTTTTGCAATTTGTTAAAATTGTAGTTTTTCTCCAGTTCATTGATTTGAAAAGTACATGCGAGTTAATTTCACGGAGCCGTAAATTGTAGTTTTATCATAATTTTAATATTAGCATAAAATAAAATAGTAATTTTAAATTCGCTTTTGTAATGCTAAGGTAAATAGTTTGCTTTGAGCGTAAAGTTAATTTATAAGAAAGTTCTAACAGTTTTTTTGCACTTCGAAACTTGAAGGGTCATACCTCTAACATAGTAGCAGTGACAGTATCGCATGTCCTAACAACAACTGCCTGCGACTAGTGTTCGAGGGGACGACAGGGCTGAATACGGGTCAATACTAACAAAACTCTAACAATAACATGACCCCGAAACTAACGTTCATCCATTGCACTAATAGTTATAATGTAGTTGTACTTTCCTAATAACCCATCTATCACAGACAAACAGACATAACACTCGCAGGTTGTTCATCGAATACGCATTTGACGGTCAATTTGAGTGTTTTTGGTTGGTGGTGCCGCCACCTGTGGCGCGCACGGTTGGTTCCCTTGCGTTTGACGTCTGCACACTAGCACCATCTGTTCAACGTACTATCCATCAGATGATACTCAACAGATGGCGGTAGTGTTTAAGTGACTATGATTTGTGGAGAGAAATATTAAATGTGTTATTTCTGTTTGTCTGGGCATCTATGTTTCTTTTTAGTTGTGTGTGTGTGTGGGGGTGGGGGAGGGTTAATGTAACCAATACTCTCTGTTCTTTTATTCGTTTTCCATAGCCCTTCACCATCACCCCATATCCCATCATTTTGACGAGAGATGAGTTGCTTGCATGGTGCATGCCCAAGTCGTACTACAGGATAATATGCTGAGTGTGGTTCTATCACAAAAACCACGCAGGAACGCAAATCGATAGAGCTAAGGTATAATGAGGTAAATTCTACACAGTATTTTAAAGGAGCCAACTCTAAGCAGGTAATAATAGCGATTAATAATCAAACAACCATAAACAGGTAAGAATAAATTTATTTATTTTAAATACAGTAATGACCCGATTTTGTAGCCCCTCTGCGCTTCAGACTTTTTTCTTTCAATAATTTCACATAATCATAAATCTAAATTTTTCTCATTCGTCATTCGTTAAGAGGGATATTTAAAGTATACTTTGGTGCAATAGGTTCAAGAAGATTACTGAAAAAGGGCATGGGTTTTGTAGAACATTGGAAAACATATCGGGACATTACTGTATTCCATTTACATTTACATGATTTATCACATATACATATATGGTCGTAATCTAATACACAGTTGATCACAATACGAGCCTAAAAGCTGCAGTGACCTAGTGAGCACCATAGCTCGAGTCGTCTGTTAGTATTGTGTATCGCATGGAGAGCCCAACCTAGATGCTAGCCTATTAAGACTGCAGTTGGCAACTCTTGAAAAACATCCCACTGCGTCCTAGCAAGAAGTACGGTCGACTTGTTTCGCGCTCCGTTGTTTTGGAAGTTTTTTCGGTATTCGCTTGATATAATTTATCAGTTTTTTTTCTCACTAAGTGACTCCTGGCATAGTTCCCGGTAAATTGATCGAAAAGTGAGTTTTTTTTAGTAGAAAGTGTCATTTTCGGAAAGATTAATCCGTGCTATTGGAAATTCGCAAACAAATTTGGGCATCATCGTTGCGTGGTCACGCATACGCGCTCGCGCATACCCGCTCACGTATCATCATCATCGAGTGTGAGCACCCGTTTCTACATCTACATCGTTCATCAATCATCGTGCGCCTGTGTGCGCTGAGTACCGAGCCTCGATCAAGTGCACCACAACGAAGGTCATCCACGCAGCGCGTCTCTTCCAGCCATCTGTGTAAACGCCTACACATATAACGCTCGGTGGTAGTAATATAGAATTATCAGATAAGTTTTTGTTTTTTTTTTGTTTCTTTTCCTCACCCATTAGTTAAATTTTCATTTTGTATTACTGTGTTTGTAGTGTTTTCTGTGTATTGTGTCTGTGCGTTCAGTGGGAGAGCGTTTTGCGCTCCCACTAGTTGAACAAAATGGATGTTTTGTCAGAAGACTACATGGATGACCATTGACCATTCATCTAAGAAAAATGATGATGTCATCCCTGGTTCGTCGTCTCAGTCTGTCAATGGGCAGGATGAGAAAAGCACCAGATTGCGGGCCTACCCGAATGACTCGACTGGCCCATGGGTTGTCTATTTTCAGCCCAAAAACAAACCCTTGAATGTTGTTCAAATATCTGATGATCTGACAAAGCGATTCTCTGCCGTGACCGAAATAACGAAGGTTAGGCACAACAAACTTCGTGTGACCGTCGCTAACCTGAAACAGGCCAATGAAATTGCTGTTTCCCAGTTTTTCACACTGGAATATAGGGTGTACATTCCAGCCTCTGATGTGGAGATCGAAGGCGTGGTCACTGAGGCGAGCCTGAACCCCGAGATACTGGAGAAGCAAGCGGTTGGCCGATTCAAGAACCCCTTGCTTCCTCCGGTAAAGATACTGGCCGTTCATAGAATGAAGTCAGTATCGCTCAGCGAGGGTAAAAAGAGTTTTACCCCCACAGACTCGTTTCGGGTGACCTTTTCTGGATCTGCCCTTCCTCAATACATCGAGCTGGGAAAACTTCGTCTTCCTGTGCGGTTGTTTGTACCTCGGGTCATGAACTGCCAGCATTGTAAGCGGTTGGGACATACGGCCTCCCACTGCGGCAACAAGGCACGCTGCTCCAAATGCGGGGAGAAGCATGAGGATGGCGCCTGCGCAGCTACTGCACCAAAATGCGTGTACTGCAACGGAACTCCTCCTCATGCTCTCTCGTCGTGCCCGGCGTACAAACAGCTCGGGGACAAAATGAAACGCTCCCTTAAGGAACGTTCCAGGCGGTCTTTTGCAGAAATGCTTAAGACAGCCACGCCATCGACCAATGACAAAAATCCTTTTCTCTTTTGTCAGATGACGAGACTGACTCTGACTTGGCCGAGGAGGGAACTTCTTTCAGTTTTCTGGAAGGTTCTGCACGGAAATGAAAGCGCATCCGTTCGCGGATTGTTGCAAATAAAGAACCCCAAATCAGCTTGCCTAAATCAAGGAGTGGTGGAAAAAAGGAGACTTCTACTCCTCCTGGATTCCGCAGAACTGACTATACCCAGGATTTTCCACCACTTCCGGGGACATCGAAAACCCCTGATGCCTCAATTTTAAGAACAGAAACCCCTTCTTCATCTGGGTTGTTCTCATTTGATGACATTGTGGACGGTATTCTCAAATACCTCAACATTTCTGATCCTCTGAAAAGCATTGTCCTCACATTGCTTCCCACTGTGAAATCCTTCTTGAAGCAATTGACTTCAAAATGGCCCCTTCTTGCAGCTATCATCTCCTTCGATGGATAATTTTACAAACGAGGTCGGGGATTTGATCACTGTTCTACAGTGGAATTGTCGAAGTCTTATTCCGAAAATAGATTCGTTTAAGTATTTAGTCCATAACAATAATTGCGATGCATTTGCCCTCTGTGAAACATGGCTCTCTTCAGAAATTGATCTCCCTTTTTACGATTTTAACATTATTCGATTGGATCGTGAGGATTCACGTGGAGGAGGGGTACTTTTGGGGATCAAAAAGTGCCATTCCTTCTATAGAGTGAATCTTCCCGAATTCCCCGGTATTGAAGTTGTCGCATGTCAGGCTACCATTAAAGGTAAGAGCCTTTGTATTGCTTCTGTATATATTGCTCCTAGAGTCTCTGTTAATCGCAAACAACTTTTCGACATATGTGCGGTACTTCCCGCTCCATGGTTGATCATGGGAGATTTTAACTCCCACGGTACAGGCTGGGGGGAACTGTACGATGATAACCGTTCTACTTTGATTTATGATCTCTGTGACAACTTCAACATGACAATCCTTAACAATGGAGAAGTAACACGTTTGGCTGGTCCATCCTCGAATGGTAGCAGATTAGACCTCACCTTTTGCTCCAATTCACTATCGTTGGATTGCACTTGGCATGTAATCCAGGATCCGCACGGTAGTGATCATTTGCCGATCAAAATTTCGATTGCCAGTGGGTTCAACTCGTCAGAATCCGTTAACGTCGCGTATGATCTAACCCGTAACATCGATTGGACTAAGTTCCAATCCGCGATAGACGATACAGTATCGTCAGTGGAAGAGCTTCCGCCGTTGGAGGAATATAATTTCCTCTCTAATCTCATCGTCGACAGCGCACTTCAAGCTCAAACACGACCGGTGCCGCGATCGTCTATTCGTAAGAAAACACCATCGCTCTGGTGGGATCAACAATGCACGGAGGTTTACCGTAAAAAGTCCGACGCGTTTAAACTTTTTCGGAAACGCGGAACACGCGAGCATTTCGACGCATACACATCTCTTGAACGCAAACTCAAGAGCCTCATCAAGGCCAAAAAACGGGGTTACTGGCGGCAGTTTGTAGACGGATTGTCGCGCGAAACGTCTATGAATACGCTTTGGAGTACGGCGCGAAGAATGCGTAACC